GAACTGAAATAATTAAAGGTCTGGTTAGGAAAGACAAGATTCATAGACTAACAACCCATGGCAAGTCTAAAAGAGTTGCACGACGCTTAGCCAAGGACGTGATTTTCCTTATATAGAATATGTTTTACAAATTAATCTGGAAAACAAGATGTGAAAAGATGCAGAAATAGGAAAAGGAAAATGGTATCGTTAGACAGCTCAAAAGAAAAAGAATTTCAACAAAGACCAGAAAACCACATGAAGCTAAAAACAAACCAACTCTAACAATACCAATTTTTAACTGGAAAAAGGAAAGGAAAGAAGAAACTCTGGTCTTGCATAACAAGGCAATGAAAAACTTTATACTACCAAGAGAAAAAGACCATGAGGCATATAAAGCCTGGGCAGATTAACCCTTCCAGGTTGCTAGCTGGAAGTAAGAGAGAGATTAGTAAAGAATCTGAGAAAGAAGGAAAGTCCAAATGTGGATACTGGGGTTGTGTAAACCTTACAAGAGCAAGAAGTATGTAATAGAAAACTAATTAGAAAGGTTGTGGCTTGAGATACAAATCAGGTTACAGCAGTATTCTATAGAATAGCTTGAGATATAAACCTGGTGATGACAGTATAACAGATACTAGCTAGATAAGAAGTTACTGAACATGCGGTAAAAACATATGTGGAATATAAACTACTTTGTTAGATTTACTTTATAGATAGATTAGCCAGAAATGGTTAGTAAGTCTTAAGATGGGTGTGAAATCTATAGATGTCACAAAACCTAGTATATATAGTGAGTTATACTAGAAATAGATAGTGGTTATAACCAAAGAGTTTAAATAGGCATCTCTATAGTTAGAATGCAGGTATAGCAGCTAGTGTAAAACCTAGAACAGACTACTTAAATAGGCAATCAAAAAGTTGCATATATGGCTAGTCATACTCTCATTAAAAATAACCAGAAAGCTTAAATAAGTAATCTTCTAGTTAGATTACAGGTATAGTGGCTAGTGTAGAACCTAGACAGACTACTTAAATTAGGTACCAAAAGTACATATGTGGCTTGATATACCTTTGTTATAATTGTAACCTGAAGTTAATAAGCTAATAAAAAGTTCTTAGCCATAGAGGTTATCTTAACACCAAAAAAAAAAAAAATTTTTTTTATAGGAAGTTATTAAAATATCTTTGCTCAAAGTTTGGAAAAAACTTTCTGTTTTAATAGTTAAAGTTTTTTCCCAACTTTAAGAGAAGATAACTTGATACCCACCTATCTAAAATTAACAATTTTTTTTTTTATTTTAACTATATAGATATACTTTACAGAAACTTAAATATTTTAATATATAATAACTACATAATAATGATGTAGTAATTACATAGTTACTATTAAATTTAATCATAATTACATAGTTACTATATAGGTACTGCACATTAAGAAATTTAAGTTACTATAAAGTAGATATAAAAAATGTTTTAAAACAGAATGTTTAAAAACATGTTTGATTAATTTAAAACTGTTTTTAAATAATTTAATATATTCTGACATAATTATAATATATAACAATAGAGTAGTGTTTATTTAATTAATTTTATCAAAATACAACTTTATCATTATCTTTTTTTTAAATATAAATTTATAAACAGTCATGCTTCATAGAAGACCTCTATTAAAAGTAAACTTTACAAAAGTTATGGAAACTGACAAACTTAGTTAAGCTACGCAAGCTAAAAGTGTAACTATTGTAAAGAGAATATATAGATACAAAAATATTTCTAAAAGTATGAAAAATTTATTAAATAATGCTAATATTCAAGCTGCTAGTTTAAACAAAAATAAAATAACAGTGTTGCAGAACATTGCTAGTCTAACTTTGGGTATATTCATAATAAATATTGTGCATATCTAAATAATAAATTGATAAAAAAAACATTGCAATTTATCAAAATTTGAGAATTCAAAAAAGAATAAAACATTCAAAGATGATAATAACTAATAATTAACTTTATAATTATATATTAAATTATATAAAAAGAGTAAACAAAAAAAAAAAAAAGAAAGCATATATATACATATATATAATTAAACAATTTCATATTTCTTGTAATTATATAATAATGAAAATTTATAAAGTAAATATTTTTCTTAAAAATTATCTTTATGAAATTTGGTAAATTAGCATTTTAGCCTAAATTTTAGTTTTAGCACCAAAGTTTTTTAAAAAGGTTTAAAATATCTAAAAAATTGTTTAACCTATTTTTTTTCTATCTCTATATAGATATATAGAGTCAGAATAAAAAAATTTTTGTTGATTTTGGATAAATAGTTGTTAAAATATATTTGCTCAAAGTTTAAAAGTTGTAGCAAGATTTTTTCAAACTTTGAATAAAGATATTTTGATAATCACCTCTTTAAAATTAATAAGTTTTTTATTTATTTTAATTATACAAGTATATAGAATCAGAATAAAAATTTTTTATTGATTTTAAATAGCTAGTTGTCAAGATATTTTTGCTCAAAGTTGGGAAAAAAATTACATTTTGATAATTTCATTTATATACTGGGTCATCCAGTGACCTATTTTAATCGAGTAGTCAGTTTTAGTACAACCACTTATTTGTGCGAGTAATACAAACTTCTAAAAAGGAAATGGCCAATCAGAGAACAGAAATTTTGGGTTTTTCAGATCAGTCTGATATAGAATCCGAACATGTGCAAAAGAAGAAAAAAAGAAAAGAAAGCAAAAATACTCAAAAACTAGTGTTTAAATCGACCTTTGTGAATTAATAAAAAATAACGGGAATGAAATTTTACATATAATAAACTCTAACTTATTGCTAAAGCTTACAACCCTAATGTCCTAATTCTAAACTTCTATTTTTACGCACTTAGTTATTTACAAAATTTGATTTCCTTTTTTGGTTTGTGTTATTCGCAAAATATAATATTGTTTTAAGAACTATATATTTAAAATTAATATTTAAAGAGTTCGTCAAGAATTTGTAAATAATTTTTTTGATTAAAAAATTTTTCTAAACTTGTCTATTTTTAGCTTATAAGCAACTTAAACTTTTAAATAAGTAAATCGGGTTTTAGTTTGGGTACCTAGTTGGGAAGATAATTAACCCAATGAGTCACAGATAGGAATTATAAACCGGTTTGCAAGCATGTATTATTATATTAATATGTGCAATTTATCTAGACTATACACGATATACTGTATCTTCAGGATAATGGCACAGCTTGTTAAAGTATATCTTAGTGTATATGATTTAAATAATAATACTTTAATGACACCTCTTTTTGCAACAATGCTTGAGGACCACCATTCCTTTGCTGTACTTTTAGCTGAGTGGCGTGATATGTTTAAAAATACATTTAATGGTATTGCTACATATATCCAAACAGTATTATCAGAAGATGGCGTTACTACCAAACTTATTCCTGCATTGGGGTTGGCTGAAAAAGTATCTTTATGTGCTGATGGTGCGAGCCATGTTATAGTTTATATAAAGTATAAAGAAGTAACAGATGTAAAACACGGTCTCAAGTTCCAAGGGATTCCTTATTATTCCCACCTTTTTAGCCCACGTCCTCTTTTTTCAATTTTGAAAGATTATCCAAAAGTAAGTTTATTATATTAATATATAAGATATATATAAATAAATTAGCAAATATTGATAAAATAGTAGATTTATATTTAAGATTATTTTATTTACTACTTTATCTATATGTTAAATTATTTATATTTACCTTATATAATATATACATTATAAATTTGTATACTAATTTGATAAGTACTATTAGAAAAAATTACAATCCAATCCCACAAGTTTTATGAGTTCAAAATCTGAAAGTCTTAATTTAGAAGTAGAAGAGAACGATCATGATAATTTTATAAGCACTCAGAATAATTTTGCTAATTGTACAAGTACTCCGAATAATCTTGAGAAGTCTACAAGTACCATTAAGCCCTCAGATTCAGAAAGAGAAGTCTCTCACATAGAAATTATAGGAAAAAATAGAACTAATAAAAGTTTTATTTTAGATCAAATTAATTCAATTTAATATTTTGAAAGAGATTTTTTAGATTTTCTTTTTTGAAAAGCATTGATTAAAATTTTTTCACTTTATATAATGCTTATCGAATTATATAGTTCATTATAATTTGTTATATTTTAGCATTTCATTTTTTCAAAAAAATTAACCATATAAAAATTTATTGTTAGTAGCATTTTCTATATCAATAGAATTTTAATAATAAATTAATAAATATGGTTTTGCTACAGAATTCAATATTCGAAAATCTTAATAAAATCCTATTATAGCAATTTGCAAAAAAGTGAACTTTTGCAAGACAATATTCTAATAAACAAAATTCGGATTATTCATGTGTATCTAAATTATTTATGAAGAATCGTATTTTCAGCAAATATTTCGGAATTGCTAAATTTTTTATATGAACCCTTCGAAATAACTATATTATATGATGTATTTTGATGAAGCTTTTCAAAAAAAACTTTTTTCTTTACTAAGTAACACTTTTTTTTTTAACTTCTAGGAAAAGTTGTAGAGAAGTGTCATGCGATCAAAATGGTGATTAAAACATTAAAATCGGCCCAGTAAATCATGAGATATAAGTATTTTGTCTTTGTGATTATATACTTTTTTCTTTATATTAAAAAGAAAACATATAGTCGTGAAAAATCTAATACTTATATCTCGCGATCTACTGGACCGATTTTAACATTTTAACTGCCGTTTTGATCGCAAGACATTCTTCTACAACTTTATCTAGAAATTAAAAAGAGATTTAATTAGTGATTTTTTAAAAATCACAATATTTTTTATAATTTTATTAATAAAATTATGAAAAATATTATGATCCATCAAATTTTACTTAATAATCCTACCTTTATGCTCTAAGTAAACTTGTTCTACGCATAAAAATACATCACATTAGTATACGTTTACTTTATAATTTTAAAATTTAAGAATAAGATGCTTAATTTTTTGAATTTTGATTAAAAATTCCAAAATTAGGCATCATATTCTTAAATTTCAAAATTATAAAGTAAACGTATACTAATATGATGTGTTTTTATGCGTAGAACAAGTTTCTTAGAACATAAAGGCAGGGTTATTTGGTAAAATTGTGAGAATCATGATATTTTTCATAATTTTATTAATAAAATTATGAAAAATATTACGATCCTTAAAATTTGCTAAATAACCCTACCTTGATGCTTTAAGTAAACATATTCTACTCATAAAAATACATCATATTGGTATACGTTTACTGTATAATTTTAAAATTTAAGAAAGCAATGCTTAATTTTGGAAAATTTGATCAAAATTTTAAAATTAAACATTTTTTCTTAAATTTTAACTAATACAGGTTGTTATTTAAAAGTAACAAAAGTAGGAAAACAAACCCTATACAGACTAACAGTATTAATAAACAACTTAAAAATGCATTAAACAACACATTTTATTAATTAACGCCACTTAAAAATACATATCACTATGTTAAACAACATATTTTATTAGCTAATACTATTTTAAAATATGTATTGTAATGTTAAGCAATATGTTATTTATTATAATATGTATTTTTTAATATACATAGCAAAATCAAGAACTAATATACTAAATACATGCATATTTACTTAAATCGGTTTTGCAATTTAATAACAAATATAAGTATATAAAAAATACTTGGGGCTTATTCTTCTTCATAATTGCTATCACTATCATGATCGCTTTCATTATCGTTAGCACTATTTGAAGATAATTCGTCATAATTTTCTTGAATTGCATTTAAAGATTCTGCTTCTGACATCGCAGGAGAACCTTTTTGCAAAACAGTATCCTAAAAAAAAAATAAATAAAATAAAATAAAATGTGTTCAAAAAAATTGGTAAGCTTATTAATAAACAATATACATATATTCTCATTATTCTTTTCTTTCTCATTGTTCGACAGCTTTTGAATCCATGTATTGACATAATCTGTATTAATTTTTGGAGAAAGATATTCCTCATCGAATTAGTTTCTAAAATAGCTTGTGTTCAAATCGCATTAGCTTGTGTACGTTCATCATCGGAAACAAAAACATACTTAATAATTAAAGACAGAAATGTCTCAGAATTTGGACCATCTGGATCACAAGGGTTGTATAAGTTATTGTATACCTTTTTAGAATTTTTTTTCTATTCTAATATTTGTGCTTTTGAGTCTTTTTCGCTAAACGGTTTTATTCGATTAACACCAAAGGTGCTTCATAAACCTTCTTTCACACATCGAATATAATACCCTTTTTTAAGCTGAATTGCTACAAGCCTCTGTATAAATTAATTAAATAAATAAAATACAATTAATATTTAATAATTATATATAAGCATTGCAAGGAAAACTTGCAATTCTAATATAGAATTGCAAGTTTTCCTTTGTCATGTAAGTAAATTGACCAAAGATAGTAAATACTTCAGAATAAAGTTTTTTACTCCAAAATTTGTTAAATAACACCCCTTTGTCTTTTAATTTTTGTAGTTTTTCTGAACATTCTTTATTATTTTCCAACAATGCCTTAAGCCGCTCCTTTATTTGTTCGTCACTAATTTGCTCATGATTATGGAATAAATCACTTGCCAATTTTTGGGCTGCATTCTATATATAATATAATATATAATATATATAGTAATATGCATAGTAATACGTATAAATAAATGACAAACTATTATTATAAATAAATATATATACATACTTGAAAACATATATTCTCTGTATTTTTCAAAGGCTTTTTTCCATTGCCTTTTTTTGTTTCTAATTCGTTAGTTTCGTTGAATTTTTTTGAAACCTCTCTAAGCTGCGTTTGTTGCTCCTTAATTAAATACTCCAGCTTTGCGCAGTGCCTTGAAAGCTGGTCAAGCTTTACTGAGTTATCCTGTACGATGCTTAGAACCTTGTTTATAATGCGCAGATCGATGGCAGCTCGAGCTATTAAATAAAAATATAAAGTAATAGGTTAAAAAAAAAAAAAAAAAGGACTGGAAAACACTATTTTACAAACTTGAAGTTTCAGAAATAGCAGTCTTTCTAGTAGTAGTAGTCAACGGTGTAGGTTCAATAATAACTTGCGGCTAAATATAAGGGAGATGGGGGTATTGTGGCGAAGGGGGGTATTGTGGCGAATTTGTAATATCTTGTGATCTGGTGATTCAAACTAGATAATTTTGGTACTATTCAATTCCTCTCAATTGAAGGATTCGAATGGTATAAAAATTACCCAGTTAGGAACACTAGGTCGCAAGATTTAAAAGACAATGTGGCATTATGACGAATAGAGTATTATGACGAACCAACAATTATGCATTGTAACGAAGCACACACACTGAGCATTGTTAAAAAAAACTAGTAATAACATGTTATGGTTCTTTTTAAGCTAAAAACAAAAAAAAAAGTTTATCATAATTGAACTTGCATTGCATATTTAGTACTTTAGTTTATATTAATTACTGAATCGTTGTTGAAATAACGCCCCGGGCCATTATTCGAGGCACACAATTTCTGGAACTAAGAATTGATTTAAGCAAAG